CAGGAGGCTGGGCTGGAGGACCACAGTGAGTTGTCCGGCTATGTAGTTATACAACTTAACAATGCTCTCTGGGGACAAATCACCTCTGAAAACATCTGTCCTGAATGGGAGAAAAGGGAACATGCAGAGCAGAGGGGTGGGGAGAGGGCTGCCTGGGCTCCAAGACTGTGGCTGGGGAGGACAGGGAGGGACCGGGAGGCACCAGGCTGTGCTGGGTCCTGTAAGCCGGCAACGTGGGGCAAGGCCTAGAAGCCTCCATAAAGACATCCTGTATGTCAAGATCTGGATTGACTTATAAGGGTCTTTCCACCCTCTATGGAAAGGTCTTGTTTCACTGCAGGGTCTTCACAGCAAGTTCCCTTGATATATTTCAAATGACTCAACAATCCCATCCCAATCCACACCTGCCCCCCCATACCCAGTCTAGCTATACTTCCATTGATTTTTTTTTTTAATTTTTGTGGTGCAGGGACTGGAAACCAGGGCCTCAAACATGCTATGTACCCTACCACTGAGCGACATCCCTAGTCCTATTCATTCTTGTTTTCTTGTCGTTTTGTTGAAACAGAGTCTCACTATGTAACCCAAGCTGGCGTTCAACTCATGTTCGTCCTGCCTCTACCTCCCAAGTGCTGGGATTATAGGCGTGTACCACCAGGCTTGGCTTCCATTGATTCATAAAAGGAGGCTGTCCTGACTGAACCTCTGGAAAGCCACCTTTAAGCTCTGGGTACCCAAGTGAAAACTTTGGGGCCTGTGTGTGGAGGTGGGGCGGGGGGTAGCCAGGGGATCAGGGTTTCATTTTTTGTTGAATGATGAGGATTCCTCTTAATCTTTTGGGGGCTTTCAACTGACAAAGACCAGAAACCTCTTTAAATAGCATTTGCCACTCTTCATCCTCTTTCTTATTTACTTTCAATGTTTTCATAACTTCCCTAGGCAGCCACGCAGCTTAAGTGAGGTTCTCCTTTGTGGACAGGCTCTGCCTGGTACTGGCCTTCAGAGGTGACTGATGGGGTTAAAGTACTTTCCCGGAAGGGCTGGGAGAGAGGCCTGGAGTGTCCTCTCCTCAACTAGTTGCTCACTTGCTTGGCTGTCCTGGGTACTCTTTTGGGAGTACCCCTCCCCCACCAGCCAACAGGCTCTGAGGAACCTCTGTTGCACAGAGGACGTGGACCATCCTGGGTCACTGACATCAGCCTGTGCCCTGCCACCTACTTTCTGTCACTTTTCTCATCTTTGAGACAGGTCTTTAGTATTCTCCCTGGGCGGCTTCTTACCCAGCCTCTCTCTCTCCTTGGTGCTGAAGATGGAACCCAGGACCTTGCACATGCTAGGCAAGTCCAAATTGTACCCCCAGCCCCCGGGGCAGCTCTTGATTAGTGACAGCCAGACCACTTTCACTCACAGCCTCCCTAACCACCTGTCTGAGCAATGGTCCATGTGGTAGGTAAGGTGGCTTGAATCAGCTTCACTCTGGGAGGCGTGAAGTGACCTGGCAAAGTGCATACCAGTGAGTCAGTGACAGTGCAGTCACTCATTGCCTTGTCCTTTCCTTCCAGCTCTGACCCCCCCACCAATGTCCCTTCTATTATTCATTATTAGGCATTTTTTTGAGACAGGGTCTTGCTAGGCAGCTCAGGCTGGCCTCATATTCAGGATCCTATCACTGCAGCCTCCAGAGTGCTGGGATTATAAGCATGTACCACCTGGCCTGGCCATAAGTAGGCATTTAGTACATGTACATGGAATTAAATTGAGAGTTTCGGTGAGGCAGGAACCCACTTGGCCGCTGCCTGTGCTCCAGCATGCACTCCCACGGAGGGGAAACTGGGCTGTGAGGGGCCTCTAGGTGGGGGTTTGTGCAGAAGGACTGGAGGCTTTAGGGAGGTGGGGCTTGAAAAGGACCTAGAGACTTGGTGTGGCATGTGTGTTTCTGTCGGGGCTAGGAGCAGGGAACCATGGCAACCACCTTCAGATCTGATACTCTTAGCGAAGTCATAGTCGTGTTTCATGAAGTCTGATGCCGACCACCTCAGAGTGAAGTTTCAGGCCAAGTGCTCTGGCTCATTTAAGGAGCAGTTTTCTTCAGAGCAGAGTTGGAAAACTTACTTGGAAGAACGGGAGCAAACCTTCCCACATTCAAAGTATGTGCTCAGAAAGAGAAGAGCAGCAGAGCAGGGAAGGGCGTCTTGGTGGTCCTTGCTATGTGGTTTGACACTCAAGTGGCTGCCTCTGGGAGAATGAAGTGCAGTTTCTCAGTGTGGCCAGAACTCTGGACGATAGCTGGCTGGAGGGAGGCCTTGGCCACCCTAAGACTCCAGTTCAATTCTGTAGCCTACAAATGCCTGACAACCTGGAGAAGCTAATGTGCCCTGGCACAGAAGCAGTCAGATCATATGAGGTTCTGAGCTGGGCAGAGATGGTATGGTGTCAGAGGAGTATAGGGCAGCTCCGGCCTGAGCAGGTGGGGCTCCTGAGAATCTGGTTGTAGGAGCTGGGCCTATCTGCCTGGACAAAAGGCCTGGCCTATCATGAATTCTCTGAAGAGTGAGAAAGTGAGCTGTGTGTGGGATGGTGGCCCCAATGCTTAGAGATGACTAGGGATGGAAGGCACAGTAAAGGGGAGCTGGCACGCTCCCCATGAGTGGAGGTATGCGTGAAGTAGGTAGGCAACCACTCAGCTGTTTCTAATGGGGCAGAAGATCAGACAAGGTGGCCTGCCTGAAGCTTCCTGAACTCCTGACTGTCTAGACTGGGGACGTGGGAAAACGGTTTGCTACTTATTGGTTCTTGTGGGAAGCTGCATTAGAACTGCCTTTTGATCTGCAAGGTCTCAGGGGACTTGTTGGCAAGAGAGTGGAATAGGGCTGGCACGACAGGTGGTGTGTGAGGAGAGCTCCCTTGCACACCTCCAACTCAGCCAGCTTCTGTAAAGAGCATTTGGAGTAATAGTGGAAGTACTCTATGGAACTTGGGGAAAGAGGGAAAGGAAAAGAGAAGGATAGCTCATCAGTAATATCATAAAACATAACATCTGTGAAGGTAGAGGATATAACGATGTGTATTGAAAGCTGTTGAAAAATGGGCGGTGGGAGATAAAGGGGTGAGGAAGAGCAATGGAAGGGGGCGTACATTGAGACACCCCTTTGAATGGCAACTTTAATATTAATAAGAAAACCAGGACTGGAAAATAGGCATGGTGTGTGTGTGTGGTGGGGGGGGTACTAGTGAGAGGGGGAGGGTAAATGGAGGAGATTTAGGTGCGGGTGTATGGTTGGTGGACTTCATATACCTATATGAAACAGAACTAAGAGACCTCTTGCAGTTGCTTTAAGTGGGGAGGGGAAGGGGTTGGTGGGGAGGGACGATGGAGGGGAATGTAACTAATGTACAATATAGGTCTAATGGGAATTGTCACTAGGAATCCCCCTGTACAACGAATATATCCTAATAAAAATTTTAAAAAACGAGCATTTGGAAAACTCATCTTTTGGTGGCCCTCCTTTCTAAATGCGAGAGCCACCAGTGGCTGGCCCTCTTGGTGTGCATTATTTTCTCCAAAGTTCAGCTTTTAAACCGTTCTTTTTCTTACCCTTCCTTTTTCTTTCATCCTTTCCAGGAAGTTTGCCTCAAAGAGGCAAGGGTCCTCAAATCTTCCCCCCCCCCTTTGGCAGTGCGAGGGATCAAAACAGAGCTCCAAGTATGAGCTGGGAATGCTGAGCGACAGCTGCAGCCCCCTCAGGTAAGTTTCCAAACAGAGCTGCTAGTGCTGTTTGGAGACCTTTAGCTCTGGGGACACTGTCCTGGCCACCATAGAACATTTAGACTCCTCACAGCCTCTTAGGCTTATCACATCCCAGCAGTACTAGATCTTCCAGGCAACCAAGAACCCCACAAATTTGTGAACAGCCTTAGAGAGCTAACAGTGCTCCCACGCCCCTCTCACCTTAAAACCCACTGTCTCCTTCTCCAAAGGGAGTGAGTTGCTCAAGGCCATGCCACCGGCCAGTAGCAAAGTGAAGACCAAGTGAAATCCCACTCATTCTTTTGTTGCAAGCCCTTTTATTCTTTTCCGTAGGTTATGTCAGGAGGGAGGGAATGCGGTGAACATAGGCCAACTTTACCCTTATTCCCTGCCCACAAAACCGCAAATTCTCTCCCTCATTTTTCTCTTTTTTTCGCTCTTGCCAGACTCCGTTCTCCTCTTCTAGCTCGCCTAGCCCACCGTTTGCCCAACCGCAGGCACAGATACGGTTTTTCTGGCAATTACTGGCAACAGTGCAGTTGAGCGCGATCCGCAGGCGCGGAGTCGGGCCTCTTTGGGGTAGGCAGTGGGATCCAAGGCCCGAAACCTTTCCATGAGGATGCAGCCGTTCTCTGTCCAGCATCGAGGACCGAGCTGTAGCCGGGCCGCGATCGCGGCGGTGCGGCAGACCTGGGGAGAGGTGGAGGACCGCCGGCCCTTGCTGGTCGGCCCGGGGAGGTTTCCCGGAGCAGGGGAGCAGACTGAGGGCCAGAGGCCAAGGCCGGGGGAGGAGGGTGTTGAGGGGCGCCCAAGCCGTGGCTCCTTGGGAGCAGGGGGGCAGAGCAGTGCGGCTTGACCTGGCCTTCCACGCTAGAGGCCGAGGCCCCTGGGCATCGCGGGGCCACCTCTCCAAAGTCCTTTGAGATCGCAGCACGGCTTAAGGGGGGCGGAGCGCGGGGTGGTCAGGGGAGAATATTATTATTCTCTGTTTTGCCTCCGCAGCCGGGGCCGGCGGGTTGTTCTGTTTGAATGAATGAGCCCAGAGGCCGCGCCCAATGGGCGCCAGCGCCTGCTTAATATGCATGAGGCCCGCAGCCAATGGGCGGGCGAGGAGGCTGTTTTAAACGGCGGAGCCCGCTGGCCAATCAGGCGGCTCTCGTGGAGGCAGCTAGCGCGAGGCTGGGGAGTGCTGAGCGGCGCGTCGTGCCCTGCGCTGCCCAGACTAGCGAACAATACAGGTACGTTTCGCACCGCCCGCGCCCGTCGCCGTCGCCGCCGTCGCCGCCGCCGCAGCGCCCGCACAACTTTCCGGCCCGCGCCTCCGCGAGCGCGCCCGCCGCCGCCGCCTCCTGCCTCTCCTCCCGCGCCCTGCCCGCCCCTTCGCCTTCTCTCTGGCTGGGTGGCGGGGAAGGAAGAAGCAATTCAGGTGTTTCAACTTTTCCACGGCTTCCTCCCGAGCCCGCGGTTCCCGGGGCTCGGCTCCCTCCGCCGTCTCCGCTTGGCGGTCGCCACCAGGGGCAGCGGCCGCGGGGCCGAGCCCCCTCACCCCTCCACCCCCCCGCCCCAGCCACCTCAGGCCAGATGTTCCCGCAGCTGCGGAGGGCGGCGAGCGTCCGGCGCCGATGCTCCCCAGCCTGGGACGGGCTCTGCGTGAGGCGGGCGGTCGGTGACGCCGGGGGCTGCGGCGCGGGCAAACTTCGCTGCCGGGCTCGGCCGGGCGTCGCGCGGGCCCGCGGACTGCGCCGGCGGCTCCGCATTAACATGGCCGTCGCGGAGCGGCCGGCGGCCCTTGGTGTGGTGGGGGGGGGGCGCGGGCCAGCTGCCCCCCGCTCGTCTCCCGCCCGCCGGCGCCGCAGCCGCAGCCGCAGCCGCCGCCGCCGGGTAACATGGCTGGCGCGGTGCGGGGCTCCGGCGAAGGGCGGCAAGGCGGGCGGCTTGCTGCGGGCTCGGGCCCGGCGCCCGGGGCGGTGCGTGGAGGGCCGGGGGCGCCGCCGCGGGCCCCGGCGCGGCTGAGCGCCATGGCTGCACGGGCGCCTTTGTTATCCCGAGTGCGCCCCGCGTCGGGGGGCGGGGGGGGTCCGGCCGCGGCCCGGGCGGGCGGGGCGGGTGGCGGCCGACGAGCGTGCGCGGCGACGGTGGCGGGGCCCGGGCCGCTTTGTTCGCCGCGGCCGCCGCCTGCGCCGGCCACGCGCGGATCAGCCATTTTAGCGAGCGGGGCTCGGAGGCGCGGCGGGCACCAGCACTGCTGTCGCGGCCGCCGCCGGCCCGGCCCACGTCCCCAGCGCGCGACCGCCGCCGCCGCCGCCGGCGGCCCCGCGCGCCCCCCGGGGGTGGCAGCTGCGGATTTCACGGGCACTTTCTTTCATCCGGAGGCTCTTGACAAAATGGAAGGTGAATTATGGGTGTCCGGAGGACCCGGCACGGGGCCCGACGCTGCGGGCAGGGGCTCCTCCGCGCCGGGGCCCGCCCCGCCCGGGCTTGCCGCTGCGGGGCTCCACTGCTGCCCCTCAGGCGATCGCTGCCAAGGGGAGCGCCTTAGTTTTACATGGTGACCTTGGGTGTGGGAAAAGGAAAAGATGGCGGGAAGCTGGGGAGGGGGGACAGGGACGACGACACGCCAAGGCTGCATTTTTATTTGGAAACTTTGCAGAAAGTATTCCTGGCTGGACCTGCATTTCTCCGTTACCCCTGGGCAAGATTAGCTCTTTTCGGGTCCCCACCTCCTTTAGCTAGTGACGGTGACGGATTTCAACCAATAGACCAAGGGGTACCAGCTCACTTTCCAGATCACCCGTGTGGTAAAAGCCGTATTTTATAAGCCAAAGCGCATCAGCAATACTGACATTTCACGTGTCCCTATTTGCAGTTTTTATTTTGCCTTGATCTTGTTTAGCAGAGGTGACAGTAATTTTTCAAACACAGGCGTTAAACACGTAGCCACCTAGCCTTCAGTCTGTCTTCTGTCACCTACCCTCTTAGGACTGTGTCCTCCAGGTGCTCTTCCCACTTCATGGAGGCAGTTTTCAAACAGAGTGCGTCAGTGATGCAGGGCTGAGTACCCACTTAGTCCCCGTTTGGAAAACTTGTCTGGAGAAGTAACTTGCAAACCAGCGCACTTCATGCTGGTCAAAAGTTAAATGACAAGCGACAGTGAAGCAGATTTCATCCCAGCTCTGCCTTCTGCTACTAGTGGTGTCAGGCAAGGAGGAGTGATGGGATTCTTAACAGGAAACTTTGCTCTGCCTTTGGTGTTTCTTTGTAATTTTGTTATTCATTGTATTGTTTTCTTTGTCTTCATCCATCACAGTAAGGATGGCTAAAGGTGACCCCAAGAAACCAAAGGGCAAGATGTCTGCTTATGCCTTCTTTGTGCAGACATGCAGGGAAGAACATAAGAAGAAAAACCCCGAGGTCCCTGTCAATTTTGCAGAATTTTCCAAGAAGTGCTCTGAGAGGTGGAAGGTAATTTTCTTTCGTATCCTCATGCTGGTGTTAGTTGACTTTCACATTTGGGGATTACTCACCTTCAAAGTCACCCTGGGTGGTTGCTTTCTGTCTCTCTACCTGGAGTCATCTCATCTTATCGTTAGAATGTTGGGTGTGTGCTTTTACTTTTCAAGGCTCTACATGGGGCTAAAGCCCTCACCTCTTGCAAGTGGTTCTAAAGCTGCCACTTTAATTAGGGAACGCTGGGGGCAAGGATGTATCGTGATGTTGAGGAATTTGACAGGTCCTGTTCTTTGCAGACAATGTCTGGGAAAGAGAAATCTAAATTCGATGAAATGGCAAAGGCGGATAAAGTCCGCTACGACCGAGAAATGAAGGATTATGGGCCTGCTAAGGGAGGCAAGAAGAAAAAGGACCCCAATGCCCCCAAAAGACCTCCGTAAGTGACTGCAGATTGGAAAGAACGGCTAAGAGCTTTCCTTTTCCTTGAAGGATTTTTAAAAGCCAGTTTGCCTAAAAATGTTGATGCTTATACAGAACATTCTGTACTGCCACCAGCTTTTTGTTTTTTTTTTTGTGGTACGCCTTGGTCTTGCTAGGCAAGCACTCTATCACTTGAACCATGCCCCAGCTATACCTTCAGCTTATAGGCTGCCTGGAGGTCCTCTCACTGGGAAGGAAGCACCATAGTTTTGGGTGCCAGGGTCCTTACACATAAGTTCTTTACTCCTTACCCAGAAACTGAAAGCCTCAACAGCATTGTAAACCTTCTAGTATGTACAACTTTGTAGTGCTGTCTGTGGTTTATAACTCTTCACTTGAGGGAGAAATCACACTAAGAAGTAGTATGTGGACTCAACTGGGTGTGCTAGTACACCCATTATAATTGCAGCATTCAGAATGAGGCAGGCGGATCGCTGAGTGTGACTTCACCCTGAGATGCATAGGGAGATACTGTCTCAAAAAAAAGTGTGTGCACTCAGGAACATGGGGATTTAACCTAAAGTCTCATTTTTGTGAATTCTCTCCTGCAAGGTCTGGATTCTTCCTGTTCTGTTCGGAATTCCGCCCCAAGATCAAATCCACAAACCCTGGCATCTCTATTGGAGATGTGGCGAAAAAGCTGGGTGAGATGTGGAATAACTTAAGTGACAGTGAGAAGCAGCCGTATATCACCAAGGCGGCGAAGCTGAAGGAGAAGTATGAAAAGGTAGGCGGGGACTGGTGTTGGTGGGTTGTGGGCGTGTGGCTGCTTTGCTATACTGAGTGCTTGGCATGGTGCGCAAGTGTCCATCTCCCTGTAAGATCAGCCTTGTGTGCTGCGAGTCACACTTCTGACAGGTTTTCGTCTTGGGGACTGCTAAAGGCAGGCTTGACAGTTTTTGCTCACCATTATTTTTTCTTTTTGCTGTGTTGGTAATTAAACCCAGAGCCTCATGTTAGATAAGCACTGTATACCACTGACCACCCCAGCCCCACTCTTAAGAAAAAAAGATTGGTAGGGCTATTACCATGAGTTAGAAGACTGTTGAATACCCATTAACTTTTAAATCTGAATGGCCAAGAAACATGTGTATATGGAAACAAGCACCTCAAATATAATAGGGCTCTATGTTCACTTGTTTTCAATTCTTGCTGTTACCTGAGGCGAAGACTGCATGCCTCTACGTTTTGGTCAAACAGCTGCAGGAGAACTTGGCCACTCATTTGGAATGTGTCCCTGTTCCTTCCAGGACGTTGCTGACTATAAGTCGAAAGGAAAGTTTGACGCAAAGGGTCCCACTAAAGTTGCCCGGAAAAAGGTGGAGGAGGAAGATGAAGAGGAGGAGGAGGAAGAAGAGGAGGAGGAGGAAGAGGAAGATGAATAAAAAACTGTTTATCTGTCTCCTTGTGAATACCTTAGAGTAGGGAGCGCGTGGTTGACACATCTTGTATTTGAGGTGTGATTGTTGCCCTCATTAGGTTTAATTACAAAATTCGATCACGATCATATTGTAGTCTCTCAAAGTGCTCTAGAGATTGTCAGTGGTTTACAGGAAGTGGCCATGGGTGTCCGGAGCACCCCGAAACTGTATCAAAGTTGTACATATTTCCAAACATTTTTAAAATGGAAAGGCACTCTTGTGTTCTCCTCACTCTGTGCACTTTGCTGTTGGTGTGTCAAGGCATTTGAAGATGTTTCTGGCATTTTATTTTCAATTTGTAAGGCGGTGTTAACTCTATGGTTATTGGCTAGAAATCCTGAGTTACCAACTGTACATATCCATAGTTTGTAAAAAGAACAGAACAACTGAGACAGACTCTTGATGCTCCTTGCTTGGCGTTGAGGCTGTGGGGAAAGATGCCTTTTGGAGGGGCTGTAGCTCAGGGCGTGCACTGTGAGGCTGGACCTGTTGACACTGCAGTGGGCATCCATTTAGCTTCAGGTTGTCTTGTTTTTGTATATAGTGACATAGCATTTGCTGCCATTATTAGCTGTGGAAAGGGGGGGCAGCTGGCATGAGAAGTGTTTGGATTTTTTTCTTTAGTTAAGTGTGGTAGATTTTAAATTGTTTGTTTTTAAATTGTAGAACTCTTCATTGTCAGCAAAGCAAAGAACCACTGCATCAATGAAAGTTCAGGAACCTTCTGTACTTAAATCCAATTTGCAACATTCTGTTATTTTTTGTATGTTTAGAATGCTGAAATGTTTTTGAAGTTAAATAAACAGTATTACGTTTTTACAACTGTTCTCTTACAAAAGCCTAAATTTCTGACTCATAGTAGTCCTAGCGAAACAGCCTGCTTCCTTGTGTGTGGAGACCAGCCTCTCAACTTCTCCTTAGTCGTTTAGGACTGAGGTGAAGGAAACTTCTGCAGGATGTATGTGTCAGTGGCATTGAGCTGAAGTTGAAGTTCAATGTAGAAGACAATGACATAGATATGGTTTAGTGGCAGGCAGGTGGTGAGGATGGAGGCTGGTAAGGCCACATTTCACCTTTTTACCTCCTGCCACTGTTTTGTGAGGTGAAAGAGTGTTCTGGAGTGTGCAGCATATAAGACTTCAGGCCTTATTACCCCTCACTGTGCCTAGCACATCCAGGAGCTGCGCAGGCATCTGTTCTGAATGACATTTGACGAAGTCTTGGGCTTCTGCTTCTGACTCCTGGACCCCATGAGCGTGTGTGGGTTAGGGTGGTACGCTAGGGGTTTATCCGTTTTTTTGCCCCTGCTTTCTTTCCTCCTTCACAAAACCCAAACCCCGAGATTGCCGGTTCCATCTCGAGTGGCCTGAGCGGATTGGTGGAGGCCATCGTTTCCGAGCACTAAATGTGTCATGAAAAGTGGAATGGTTACCCGGCATTTGAGCTCCTTCATGAGAAATGTAGACTGTTGGCCCGTGTTGTTAAGCTATGAGCTTGCTGTCTCGGTAGTTACGTTGTGGGCGGTGGAACATTTGTTGGGGTTGGGATGGGAGCAGTGACCACTAGCAAATGGTGCTGTTCAGTGCCATTTGAAGGCCAGCGGGTACATCTTAACTGCAGTCATGAAGGGCACCATGTTGGTGACCAAGTGTTAGTTTTTCCTAGCATTAGTACGTGGAGATGTGAGGCAAGTGGTGCTGGTTTTGTGGTACTCTAAAAGGAAGCAGGTTTTCCTTTAAGCTCACTATTTGGAACCTTGTGTGGCAGGAGGTGGTGTGCCCTCCACCCTGTTGGGTCCTATATGGGGACAAGGCATGCTGGCAGCCCAGTCTCTGTGTTCATAGCCATTCCCTCTCATCAGAACTGTCTGTCCTGTTTTCTTTGATTCTTCCACTAGTTAAAAAAAAACCCCTTGGTTGTGAGGTTTGCCCAGAGGCACTTGTTCCAGGATTGTTCCTCCTGCTTCAGTCATGCCCTTGTCACTTGGCATTTCAGACTAAAGCTGCTGCTGTGGCCGCCGCACAGTACCCAAGATACAGGCCAAGATTTGGGAACCGTGACCAACCTTGTCAAATACAGAAGAGGAGCCCAGCCTGTAGTCACAGCGGAACGGTTTCTTGCTCAGTGCCGCTGCTTTCTTTGTAACTGGGTGTACTGGCTGTGGAAGGGCAAAGACTGCAAGCGGGGATTTTCCCGAGGTTCCCCCAGTAGCTGGATAGAAGTGAGGAGCTGTTTGGTCAGCATTTAGTTCTAGAGAGATAGGTTGAGTCCCCTTAGCCCATTTGCTGCTTTGCAACAAGGCTGCTACTCAAAAGGTGTTGCTGCCACATGTTCCTCAAGCGAGTGATGCTCTAGCTTCTCTGAGATGCTGGCAGTGGCATGGCATGATGGGACCACCTGAGGTGTAGATGTAGCTTCTTTCCTGGGCCCGTGGTGTGTGTGCTTGCATTGCCAACCTGTTACTTGATTAACCAAAAGGGCAGTACCTGTTTCCTCTAACCGCATCTTCTCCAACCCCCCCTCCCCTGTTCTGGAATGACCTTTTATCCTTTTGGAGAGAACAAGGCTGTAATATAGCAACTATTGTCTGTGTCTGCCATGTGTCTGTTCTGCCACAACTGTACTTGGGGACATTGGATACGTTCATTTCTTCTAATAAAGTTTCTTAATCGGTCTTCCCAAAAAGTAATCAGTGGGCTGTCTGCAATCTATTTGAGGTACCAAGCCTCTGTGGTTTTGGTTGATTGTAATCAGCAGTGAAGTACCAACTTCACTGCAACTTTTGCTCTGAACTAACAGTGGGACAGAACCTCCCAAAGGACCAAGTATGAAAGATCTAAAGCCCTACATCAACCTTTTTAGCCAGAGGAGTGGAGGGGGCCTGGCTCCGGAACCCTGTGCTATGATAATACACAATTTGCAGGATGCTTAAGGGTCACTGAAAACACGGCTCAGTACTTACAACCTGCCAGCCAGGCTAACTAGGGCTTAGCTAGCTGACAGAGTCAAGCCCAACAAGGAGTTCTGGATTGCAGCCATGGAGACCGCTTGCCTTCTTAGCACACAGCTCAGTTTTCTGTGGAGACTAGGGCTACCTGGGAAAGAGCTTTGTAGCCTCAGCCTTCCTTGAGTGCTTCAACCAGAGCAGCAATGTGACCCATTCGTATGTTAGGCATTAAAATATAAACTGGGACGCCATGTGATAAGGGAACAACACGTGATCATCTCAGTAGACGCATAAAACGCATCTGAAGCCTGTGTCGGCATGCACGCCTGTAATCCCAGCACTCAGGAGGGTGAGGCAGGAGGATAGAAAGTTCAAGGCCAGCCTGGTCTATATAGGGAGAGTCTATCTCAAAAACACAAAAGTATTTGATAAAATCCAACACTCATGATTTAAAAAAAAAAAAAAACACCTCAAAACTTGCCCCTGTAATCCTAACTACTAAGGAGTCAGAGATTAGGAGGATCACAGAAGCTAGCCCAGGCAAATAGTTCAAGAGACCCTACGTCAAAAATACCCAACACAAAAAATGGGCTGGCAGAGTGGCTCATGTGGTATAGCTTGAAGCCCTGAGTTCAAACCCCAGTGCCACCAAAAAAACTCCAACCCACTAAAGGGCCTACAAGAAAACTCATAGCTAGTGTCACACTTAACAAAAGTTTTCACCATAAATTCAAGAATGAGAAGGTTTTCCACAGTTTTTTTTTAATGAAACAGGGTCTTGCTACATAGCATAAGCTGACCTCAAACCCGCAGCCAGCCTACCAAGTATTGGGATTTTAGGCGTGCAGCACCACCATGCCCAGCTCTTAAGATGCCAACTTTGCCACTATTACTCATCATGGTACTAAGAAGTTCTAACCAGGGTAATTAGGTAAGAAAACTGGAGAAGAAATAAAACTGTACAGGCGGATGGCACAATCTTGTATAGACAATCCTAAGGAGTTTCCAAATTAGAACAAATAATTGAGCTCAGCAAAGTTGAAAGATAACACAAAAATTAATCTTAGCATGTAAAAGGCCCTGCACCTAATCCCCAGCATCACAAAAATAAGTTTGAAAAATTAGTTGCATTTCTATGCAGCAGCATTGAACAATCTGAAAATGAAACTGAGAAAATTCCTTTACAATAACAGAACTAGGCAGAAACTTAGAAAAGGGAACAAAACATATATGGGAAGTAGAAAACTCTGGAGGAAATTTAAGACTGTTAAGTGAAAAGACGTGTCATGTTCACGGTTGAGATAAAGTTAAGATGCCAAACTTGACAAAAATTGACCTGCAGATGTTCTGTAAGAATCTGGGCCAGCTCTATAGAAGTCAACAAACTGATTCTGAATTTTATATGGAAATCCAAGTGAGCTGGGATAGCCAGAACAGTTTTGAAAAAAGAATAAAGTTGGAAGGTTCACATTTCTTGATTTATACAAAGCTACAGTAATCACGACCTTTTGGTGCTGGCATAAGGACAGACATATGTGTTAGTGATAAAAAATTGTGTGATCAGGCTGGTGGCATAGTGGTAATTCACCTGTCATACCAGCACTCAGAAAGCAGGGGGATTACGAGTTCAAGGCCAGCCTTCGTAGTGGGACCCTGTCTGGAAAAAATGTGAGTCCAAAGTAATAGCAGATAGCCAAGGCCAAATGATTTCAATAAAGGTACCAATGCCATTGAAAGGGGAGGTGAACTTCAACAAAGGTGCGGAACAACTGGATATTAACATACAAAGGCTATATTTTTGTTCTGTGGCACTGGGGTTTGAACTCAGGGCCTCACACTTGCTAGTGAAGCTCACTACTGAGCCACTCCACCAGCCCTGTTTTGTGTTGGATATTTTTAAGATAGTGTGTCTGCCTGGGTACTGGTGTGACTCATACCTGTAACTCTAGCTACTCAGGAGACAGATACCAGGAGGATCACGGTTTGAAGCCAGCCCGAGGCAAATACTTCATGAGACCCTAGCAAGCATGAGTCCCTGAATTCACACCCCAGTACTGCCAAAAATTTTAAAAAAGTGTCTTTATGCTGATCTCTGCCTCCTGGTCCTGCCTCCCTAGCACCTAGGATTATAGGCGTGAGCCACCAGTGCCTGTCAGGATTACATTTTTGACCCCTGCCTCATGCCATGTACAGAAATTAATTCAAAATGGATCAAAGACCCAAATGCAAGAGCTAAACCAATAACATTCCTAATAGGAAGTAAAGGTGTGAGTCTTTATGGCACTTGGATTTGGCTACGGTTTCACTGAAAGCACAGGCAACAAAAGACAATAGATAAATTGAGCTTCATGGAAAATTTAAAAAGCCAATCAACTTTTGTGCTTCAAACAATAGCAAAGAAGTGAAAAAGACAACCTACAGAATGGGACAAAATATTTTCAAATCATATCTCTGGTATCCAAAATATGAAAATTATTACAACTCAGCAATACGGCCACGTGTGCTGGTGCATGCCTGCAATCCCAGCACTTTTGAGGCTACATAGCAAGACTCTGTCTGGGCAAGAGCTCTGAATAGACATTTCTTCAAATAAGGTGTACAAGTTAGCAATAAACACATGGAAAGATACTCAGCATTATTGTTATCAGTATACAAATCAAAAGCACAATATGGTACCACTTCACAACCACCAGGGTGGCTATAATACTAATAGCAATAAAGAAAGTAGTATTGGTGAGGGTGTGCAAAACCTGGAACCCTGGTACACTGCTGGCGGGAAGGGAAATGGTGCAGTCACTACAAACACAATTTGGAGACTCGTCAATAAGATCAACAGAATTACCAAGTGATCCATTGATTCTCCTCCTAGCTATACACC